CAACTGCACCGCCGCCATCTGCAGATCTGTCTGGTTCGCCGATTCGGTTTGGGGTTATTCTTGGTTAGTTCCTGAGACAGTGGGATTACTTGCTAGCGTCGGTATCCGGCCAGTTTAGATTCCACTGCTAGCGTCGGTATCCGGCCATCACAGACCTGACCCAGCCAAAGGCAAAGAGTTCCCAAACACATTACAAAGCCAGAGTACCAATCGGGGTTGAGATTTCGGGTTTCTAAGGGTCCAGTGATCATTTGGGCTAAGAGTTCAGACCCGTTGTTTCACTGCGACGCGACGCGACCCTGGCGAAGCTGATGTCTGAGGATTCCTTCGCGCACGAGAGAGCTCTCATATCGCTGTTGGCTCATTTAAATCTTGATTTCGAGGGTCGCATTTCCAGGTTTATTGCTGCGAGAGAAGCTGGGGGTGGTGCCAATAGAAACCGCCGAAGGCTGGCTGCAGGGCGCGAGGCTCTTAGGGATTTGGATCAAGCTCTTGACATTGCCGTATTGCACACGGAGGAAAGGCTTGTGAATATCTTGATCCCTTTAAGGGAGGCCGTGGCTGCAAGCCTCGCAGTTGTAACAGCGCCTGGGTTCACGTGGTATAGGACAGATCCTTTGCTTCCTGATTTTAACATTGAAGACGTTGCGTTCGCTTTCGAAGTTGGTGTTGGCGAAAGTACAGAGGCATTGGAGAACAGGATCAACCAGCCACTTAATGCATCGGAGCCCGCGACTGGAGCGGCGTTTAATGCATCGGAGCCCGCGACTGGTGCGGTGCCTTTTAATGCAACGGAGTCTACGGTTGCCATAGCTGCTCCAGGTGAGCCTATTGACGTAGACGCTCCAAGCACGCCTCTGCGGCGTTCGCGATCTCCACCTCCTGTGAGTGGCTCGGCTGTTGTCCTTCCCAATCCGAAACCTCCGGTGCCTAGGCCTAGGGTAGAGGGTACTAGGACTCCCGTCCCACCGGCCCCGAGGCCTAAGTACTTAGGTGTTAGAACACCTGTACCTCCCACTCCGAATTCAGGACATCCGGCATCTGGGTACATAGTGAGTGTGCCGAAGCGTCGGGCTCGCCCTTCGCAGGACTTGGATAAGGATTATTGGTACGAATTCCCCACGATAGACGAGTCCTTTGACGAACGAGTCTCAGGGAATAAGGATAGTGGTTCTAGTGTCAGCGATTGGACACCAGAGCAGTGGCAGGAGTTTAATGCTAAGCAGGAGCTGGCGCCTTCTGCTACTGTTGTCATTGACGAGCCTGTTGCTCCGACTGCGGAGACCACCGTCGCTAATGCACCGGCCGGCGCCATTTGGATTGAGCATAACGCTCTTGGTGATGCAGTAGCGGAAATCCGCAGACGATCTTCTGCAGAACATATCCTGGCGCTTGATTGGCACGGCGTAGCGGACAAAGATCTTGAGGCAACTTCGGCGGCTTTCTCCGCGTGTGCAAGCAGACCTGATGTTTTAATGCTCATTCTGTCTAAGACAGAGACGCAGCGATTCAAGCAGGTGACGTACAGCGAGACAAACCGAATGGCCCAGGAAGACGGCTTATCTGTGCTGTGTCTCTTTACGCCACGAGCCGTCGGTCGGGACGGAAAGGCCAATGCATTGTGGGAGTTCTTATGGCCAGGTCAGACCGCCGAAATTTGCATCAGCTGCTGGTCGCGGAAGGTGCGCTGTAAAAGAAATCATAACCCGTTATCAGTCCCAAATTCCCTAGTGTGTGCTGCGGCATTTTGCTTCGTGCTGCACCCTGGGGTGGATTCAGGGATTGAGATACTGGTTTCCTCATTATTGCATCGCTCAAGGTTCTGTGGTGTTGGCATCTCGCCTCCCACACTAGCGTTGGTGCTGCGGCATTTTGCTTAGTTCTGCGCCCTGGTGTGGCCCACATAAGCCTTTGATCCCAAAACCGAGCATTGTGGAGTTGGCACTTCGCCTCCCACAGTTGCAAAGATGACGTCTTCAAATGAAATGCAGATGAATCCCCTGCAGATATCATCCACTTCTGCCTCCGACGAAGCGGCAGC